CCATTGAAAGCCGCGACTTTTCAGTCCAAGATTTGTTGGTTCTGAAACTGAACCTTGACAGTTGAAGCCTGAACCTGTCAAGTTTCAGCTTTAGAATGAAGATGAATGTTGCAGATCAATTAACACTCCAAATGCGCTTACGTGTTCATCTCGAAATATAGAGAGCGGGATCGCCCTGCTGATCGAGATCAAAAACCAACTCAAATCGGTCGAGGGTTCTGCTCGTGCTGCCCAAATCAACTTCCTGCAAAGAAAAACGTAGGTGATGGACGGTCCTTGACAATCAAAAAAACATCAACGATGGAGGTTTTCAAAATTTTATTACGCCCTCCAATCCAATCCGAATTAATTGAGGCAGCCTCTATACCAATTTGTACATAGGCTTGTATAGAGGTTGTGTCAATTAATTCGGATCAGAGGGAGTAGTCGAGTTTGGCATTGCATTGATTTTGAAATGCACCTTCCATTTTCTTGCCTTTGATACTTCAACAAATCGATATGATATCTGTGAGAAGAAACATAGTACTCCCTCTGATCCATAATTATAAAAATAAACAAATTAGACCACCGGGGGAGGAACCGTGCGGCATTATATAATGTGAGACATAGATATCGACCTGAAAGAGGGGTTGAACTCTGGTCGGCAAGGCGAAACCACAACGCCCCCATGTTCAGCAAGCAAGCACGCCCCCATGCGCGTGCTTTGGGCCAACCCAAGTGTGGGGCGGGGCACGCCCCTATTTTTTATTTTTTTTTAACTTCCAAAAATGTTCAAATATCCCAAATCCAAAAAGAAGTGGGGATTTGAATTTTTTTTCCCGATTTTTAAAAAATAATATGAAAAAATATATCAAAATTTTAAAAATATTCACAAATTTGCAAATGTTCAAGAATGTGAAGACCAAAAAATATTCTCGAATTTAAAAAATTGTTCAAAAATTTGAAGAATGTTCATGATTCCAAAAAATGTTCATGAATTGAAATAAATATTCACGGATCCAAAAAAACTTTTCACGGATTTGAACAAAACATCAAAAATTAAAAAAACTTGGTTTAAAAAATTCTCATATTCCAAAAAATGTTCTTAGATTTCCAAAAGTTGTTTCGGAGTTTGCAAAAATTTTGAAAAAAAAATGTTCACACCTTAAAAATATTCCTGGATTTCAAAATTTGTTCATGAATTTGAAGTAAAAAAAAGGAAAATGAAAAAATAAAAGAAAAAAGAACATGAAAAAAAATGAAACAAAAGACCCGAAAAAGGGGAGCTAGTTGGGCCAGCCCAACTGACGGAACAGCACCACAGTTGCGTGATTTTGTTCCATGCTCAGCCTCTCTCCTGTCAAATTATCTATGAAGTTCTTCTCTCTGTTTGGGATTGATGACATTCTCATAAAAAGGTGGAATATCCCGTGGCCTTCTCTTTGTAGGAGTAAGAACCTTTGGCAGCTTAGGGCTTCCAATCGTTGGAATTTCGTTATCGCTGAAGATTGATCTCCCCATATCTTTACATTCACATACATCTCAAAAGTTTTGATTTTGCTGACCACTAACATCATATAATTTGTGTCAGCATCACACCCAAGCACTCGCAGACCATCAAACAATGATTTCCCTGGCAACAACCAATACACTTCCAACCTTGTGACATCTGCATAGCCACATGATTTCCCTCCCTGTTTTAGCAACTACCTTGGCTACTCCTCTTCTCTCATGTGTGTCGTTCCACCCTGATTCTCAATCGCACCCGAGTATCCTCCTTTGATATGGCATAGTCATGATCTGCAATTTCAGGCACATAATCAATTTCACTACCCTCTTCTTCCGAATCTGTTCAGCCTCCACTTGAATCATTCACATCAATCTCATCTGCATCCATAATGATCACTGACTTGCCTTTCTCCTTTAGTACTTCAACTGTTGTCCTGAACCCTTTTCCTGATTCAGGTTTGACCACATTCAATGGCTTCATAGGGGCTGATGACTTGAGGGAGATTTTGAATTGGGAACCTAACTACATCACCAAGATCCCTGATAGAATCATCATGCTCCAGAAAAATATCCATGAAATGATGCCCAAATGTCACAAAAGCTCTCACATTATCTATGTCATCCTCTCCATTGATCACTCTAAGCCCATTTGTGCTAACTTGAAGACATGTCATGCAGTAATACATTGTCATCCTTCCTTCCTTTTCATACCTTATCTGCTCTGTGAGATCATCCACATCTGGGGGTTACCATGTGTTCTTGTGGATGTAATCAAATCAAACCTATGGTCTGCCCTCCATAGTATTTTTTGCTTCTGCCTTGGCCCATGAAAAACCCTCCATGCCATATTTGAACAGAAAGCATAGGATCGTCATCACCGGCACAAGATAAATGGAGTTGATCAGTATAACATATTCAACAACAAGTTGACCACATGCAAATTGAGCAAAATGTATCAAATGTAACTGATTGTAACCACAAATGTTTCTAAAATGATCTAAAAGAATGAACACTTAGTTAACATGTGTTTCTGATTTCAACATTTGATTCTAAATTTTAACCACATAAGAAAGTATCTGAATTTTAACATGTAGCTGTTCATATTGTTAACCATATCCGGATGTACCTGAATTTGAACTACTTCAACAAATTATATCTGAATTTAAGCCAATTAATTACTGAATGTACATGAATGTACCTAAATTTGAACAACTTGACATATGTATCAATCAATTCCTAATGCAGAAGACAATGTAGTACTAAATTACACATATTAGTGCCTGCGTTAATAGCAACTACATCAAAGAGAGCCTGCATTAATCGCAAACTCTAGTCAATGCCACCCAAACCCGAGCGAAAACCCTACCAAAATCCCCAAAAAATCCCCTGCCAAAACCCTAGCACTAACCCCTTTCTCCGTAAGATTTTGACTTTCAAATCCATTGATTGCGACTATGGACTGTCGACTAGGGGCGGAAGCACATGAATAAAAGTTGATTATGGCGGAGGCTCACGCGTTCATACCGTATTGTAGCGACGGTTCATGTTCTAGGCGATGAACATGGGCCATCGCGAGAGAAGACGCGCGGCGCTGCCTTGAACCTCCCTTCTGGCGATGGCACGACCTCCCGCGGCCTCGCTCCCAACAAGAGAAGAAGCCGCCGATCACCTCTGTCTCCGATCATAGCCACGGGAAAACCAATCGTCTCCCCACCTCGACCGCAACGAAGAAGGAAATAAAGCAGGGATGAGCTTTATGCAAATCACTTCACGTGGGACAAATACGACATATGTGGTGACCAACGCTGTTCACTGATGTGACATTAAGCACCATAATCTGGGTATTCCGGTGTATAGTGAGCAAAATGAACTTCACAATTAAATATAGTGGACGTGGGTGAATTTAACCCTCTCCAAATCGGTTGACCCGAAGCTCGTTGCAGCAGTCTCGAAGTGATGAAAAGGAAAGAAGCAATATCTAAAAAAGAAAAGAAGCAATATCTAGGACTGGCGGGTGGGAGCCCACCTGTTTAATTTTTTGAGGGAAAGGAGCTCACCTTTGGTTGGGTCGAAGTCGAACCAGATCAACCCTAAAAAAAAACCGAACCAGATCAGATCGGACCCACGCAAATCACTTCCCCATTCCCTCGCCGCCGCCGCCGCCGCCACGTCGATCTCCTCCTCCGCGGCGGCGCCGCCATGCTCCGGCTCCGTTGCAGCCTCCTCTTCCAGCTCCTCTCATCTCCCTCCGCGTCTCCCGCCTCCCACCTCCTCCGCCTCTTCTCCGCCGCCGCGCCCGCCGTCTCCCCGAACCCTAGCTTCGCCGTGGAGGAGTACCTCGTCGCCACCTGCGGCCTCACCCGACCCCAGGCCCTCAAGGCCTCCGCCAAGCTCTCCCACCTCAAGTCCCCCTCCAATCACGACGCCGTCCTCGCCTTCCTCGCCGGCCTCGGCCTCTCCGCCGCCGACGTCGCCGCCCTCGTCGCCAAGGACCCGCAGTTCCTCTGCGCCAAAGTGGAGAGAACCCTGGCCCCCGTCGTCGCTGGGCTCACCGGCCTCGGCCTCTCACGTTCTGACATCGCGCACCTCGTCTCGCTCTCCCGTGACAAGTTCCGATGTAGATCCTTCGTCTCAAATCTGCAATACTTCCTGCACCTCTTGGGCTCCTTTGAGAACCTCCTCCCTGCTCTCAGGCGCGGCTCATGCTTTCTCTCGTCCGACCTCGAGACAGTGGTCAAGCCCAATGTTGCCTTCCTGCGAGAGTGCGGGCTAGGTGACTCTGACATTGCCAAGTTGTGCATGGCTCAGCTAATGCTGCTTGGCTCCAACATAGAGTGCGTCTGGGCAATGGCAGCACGCGCCCAAGATATTGGTGTGCCCTGTGGCTCTCGGATGTTCAGGCACGCGCTGAAGGCTGTTGCATTCCTCAGCAATGAGAAGATCGCCGCCAAAGTGGAGCACTTGAAGAAGACATTTATGTGGTCAGATGCTGTGGTCGGCGTTGTTGTCTCCAAGCATCCATCTGTGCTGATGAGGTCTAACCAGATGCTGCAGAGCAAGTCAGAGTTCCTCATCTCTGAGGTCGGGCTGGAACCGACATACATTGCTCATCATCCGGCATTGCTCACGTACAGCCTGGAAGTCCGACTCAGACCCCGGCACTACGTCGTAAAGTTTCTCAAGGAAAGCGGATTGCTGGATCGCGGCCGGGACTATTATAGAGCAGTCATGATCAGTGAGAAAGCATTTGTGGAGAAGTTCATATGCCCTCACAAGGAAGTTGCACCACACCTTGCTGAAGACTATGCAGCAGCTTGCAGAGGGGAAGTGCCTTCCAGTTTCAGATTTACATAAACCAAGAGCGGGCTATGAGAATTGGTAACTGTGTATGACGCAGCAGAGTTTATGCTCTGTGCAGTCAGCTAGTAATTTCTGTTTCGGTGTTATTTGCCTAATTGGATGTTTGTTGTCTGCTCTAGTATGTCTGGTACATGTCAATTTAGTGTCGCTAATTCCATATGAAATTGATAATTTGATTGTGACTTCTTTGTATGTCTATCACACCATTCCAGTAGAGAAGGAAGCATCGCACTATGGTGAACATGTCTCCTCATATCATATTGGCACACATAATGGAACCAAGAGTGTGTGAGATCAGGGCATTTCTGCAAATGGTTTCAAATATCAGAGATAGAGTATGTCTGCATACTCCATCATTATGTTCTCAAATGACCATTGCAGTTTTCAGTGCAATCCTTGACTACCTATCCATGAAAAATGTTCTCATTTTGGTCATTATTAATTGAAGTCTCAGAATTTCCCTTTGGATAGCGGATACAATTGTGGAGTTGTTGATGGCCAATGCCAAGGATGTAGTTTTGAACTAGTTTGTTGGTTCCTTCCTCTTAGTTCTTCTAAGCTGAAAGCCTTCGTTTCCCTGCAGTTGCTCTGTTTATAAGATATTTACTGTACAAGAAAGCAGGTCATTGTTTACTACTAGTACTTTGTATCAGCTTTTTCTTTCTCGCTCTATGTTTTTGGATGGCCTATTGGCTTGTATTTTTCTAGGGACATCTGATCTCAAAATTGAATAATGGTGTTCGCGTTATGAAAATACTTGGCAGTTTTACAGCTACTTCAAAAAATTTATCACCTTTTGAAAGCCTTGTATTACTTAAGCTTTAGCAAGCACAAAAAGATAGGCCATGTTGTTTCCTTCACAATATTAATTATAATGTTAAATGTATTATATATTTAGATGACTGTTAGGACTGAAGTTCGAGAGCCACTGGGTCCATTTTATGCCACACAAGTAAAACCCAATGTATCCACACATACAGTGTAAATATGAACTCTTGGAGTTATCAAGTTGTCGTTGCAGTTAACACTTCAGTTAGCCTTTTCTCTTTATTTGCTTCAAGGATCACTGATGGTAGTGCACTTAGTTACTTCCTCGTCCTCTTGTTGGTGGAAGTGCTGCATCAAAGAATGTAAACAAGTGGCTCGATGAGATGACTACTACATGGTATGAATCTTCTATCGCAATCCTTGCAAGTTGCTTATCTCCCTGTTGAAGATACCGTGTCAGCAAAATGGGAAACTACTAGCACCTTCTGGGTCTGACTCATCACAGGAAGTACTTTCTTTGTTTCATGCTTCGTTTTGTTGCAGTCATAGTTGTACTTATTATATTACCGTTGTATTGTGAGCCTGTTCCCCTTTGCTATAATTATCCATTCGGTATTTTCATCAGAAGGAAGATGCTCATAATGCGTGTTCTACTTAATCCACCATTGTGTTGTGATCATGTCATATAGTGCAAGCAAACTAATACTTTTGATACGATTATGACGGACGCATTAGACTTGTTTTTTTATATAATTATTATGTTTGGTGTTATTGCCTGGCCATATCATAGTTCTGATTCTACATTTTCCCTCCGTTGAACTGTACTGGTTTCTGAACTGAACTATTACCTGCAACTACCGGCTACTGGTTTTAACCTGTTTCCCGGTCCTCATTTAGGGTACAATTTAAAATGGTTCCTTTCAAGGATTCAGAAGATAACTGAGGTGGCTTATACCCAGTGCCAACAGTATATCAAATTATATTCTGTGGCATTGCCATATTTAACACCCCCGGTACTACTTGTGGGTTTTACACTGTCTGAAATGAAGATAAAGATGTATCCCATGGTCATGGGGTAGCACCGTAGCAGTAGCATGTTAGTTTATCATCTCGATAAGCTATAGAGCAAGCGGGTCCATGGGCATGTATATTTGTTCAGTTTGAAATGAAGATAAAGATGATTTTGATTTTGAATTTGATTTTGATTTGTTTGTGGATTATTGAGAGCTACGTGCGATGAGATTGCGGTTGTTTAGAAGAGAGCAGTTTGATTAACTAGCAAATGTTGAGCTGAGAAGATGGCGCCCAACAATGTTCGGTCAATCTATTACTGTAGGTGGGAGTGTGTTGGCCGTTGGATAAACAAAATCTCGCCTTGTCTGTGACTGGCTCCACTTTTCTTTTCTGTTGCCCCCATGATACATACAGCAGCTTTGCCGCTCCTGGTGCTGTAAAACTCTCTTATTTTACTCACTGAAATTGGTTAGTACATTTCATCACAAAACAGAGATCGGCGGTACATGCTCACATTTTTTTTTCTCGTGAAGAAACAATGAAACTGAAACTCCTTTTCTGATCCTGAGCTCAAATGCTCATTGATGAACAGTAAGATCAAAAATAATAGTTGAAAGATCTACCACAAATCTTTTTTTTTGTAAACTTTGATAAATGTTTTGTATGCTTGACAAATTTCAGCATGACTTAACTTTCGTGGAAGTGATGGCAAAAATAAAATAAAAAATGAACACTCCAAAATGTTTTCAAAACTAGCATTTTTGAAGCATCATTTTTTTTTGCCATGACTTCCACGAATGTCATTTCGTGATGAAATTTATCAAGCATACAAAACGTTGGTCAAAATTTACGAAACAAAAACTAGAATATTTTAATATTTTTTACGCTTTACTGTTCATAAGGGAGCATTCGAGCTATGGAGCAAATACTTCGTGACCGACTATGGAACAATCCCCTTTTACGTCAAAAAAGAAGAAACGGGCCCAACCTACCTAGCTTACCTTAATATGAGACTGCCAATAGGCTACACACGGCATCAAGTACTGAACCGCAAAAAGAAAAAGGGCATCAAGGGACTGGACCACACCTTCCTTGCTTGCTTCATGAGTCTCGCGGCAACCATCGTCTGTTCGTCACAATGCTCCACCACCGGCTCTCTTTTCCCTTCCCTCCTGTAACAACTTCTAAAAAAGAGGCCCTCTAGTCGGCAAGGCGTGGGATCCATCGTGCCTCCATGGTCCTAGGATCACATGAGACGAGACTGATCGGGGGCGGCGCCGGTGGAAGGCATGAAAAACCCTAGCGGAGCGCCTTTAGGTTTCTAGAGCGAAGGGGTGCTTGTGGTCTGGGTCATTGGATGTTTTGCTATACCTCTAGCCATATTATATTTCGCCGGAAGGTGAATAGTACCGCCTATTTCTTTGACTATATGCTCAGAGACCACCCGGACACTTGCACTTGCCCACGTGTTATCACTTAAAAATTATTTGGTAAATGGGAAATGCATGTTCTCAATTGAGTCGGAAGTTCGTGTGTGTTCTTCTTATTATGGAATTCCAAGGGTAGACCCTTCATCTACCCCACGCACATATAATTGTGGGCGCGGGAGTGGACTGGCAACCGCAAAAGCCCTCACCCGCCCCCGTCTCCCTGCTCTGCCGCACCGCCATGCCGCCTCCTCTCCTTCTCTCCTTGTCTCCTCTCCTTCTCCCCGCCGTCGCCATGGAGCCGGCAACACCCATGGGTGCTGCGGCCACGGGCGTCGCCACCATCGTAGCTGGCCGCCCCACTCTGCTTCGCATCGGCACCGTCGTCCGCATCGTTAAGGAGGAGCGCACGAGGTGAGCTTCTTTGTCACCTTTTTTCTTGTTTTATTTGCAACTACTCCCCCCCCCCTCGTTCCTAAATATTTGTCTTTCTAGAGATTTCAACAAGTGACTACACACGGAGCAAAATGAGTGAATCTACACTCTAAAATATGTCTATATACATCCGTATATGGTAGTCCATTTGAATTCTCTAAAAAGATAAATATTTAGGAATGGAGGGAGTACTAATTAGTGTAAAAAATGCAGTCAGTCTATGTCCTAGAAAGGGCCATGGAATGTCGGCTCCTCTAGCGACGATGACACTCACAGTCCCGCTACAAGCGAGGGTTCAGGTGCGCTGACGTAGCCCTCTTGCCCCTACACTTACGACGACCCTAACTTTATCGAGGTCATGGAAGGGTTGAAGGACTCCTCGGAGACCGACTCAGAGTTGCAGTATCCGGAGGAGGAGGAGGACAAGGAGAACAGTGACGGCGACAACGACAACTAGCCGACGGTCTGTGAAAAGCGTCCTCGCCCAGATGATGTCGTAGAGGTGGCATTCAAGATGAAGGACTAGACGCCCAGTTCTGTAGCTAGTCTTAATTTGAGAGTCCATAAAATCCTGACTCATGGTCTTACTGAACTTGCAAGAAATGCAGATCTTTTTGTCCTAGCGAACGTCCTAGAAGGATTAGAAGAGATTTTGTACTAACTGTAACTCAGTTGTTTTGATCAATTTATTGATCATTTTTCTCAAACAAAAAAATATTTATTTTATTTTTTAGGGGAAAAGCAAGATTTTTTTATGAAAACAAAAAAGAAACTTCATTGCAATATGCCACTACAAGATTAGAAAAAAAATCGTGTATACGAGGAGTGAGTCCATCCCAGTCCCAGCCCAGCCCATTATCAGACCACACCACACCACGCTCATCCTCTCGCCCTCGCACTAGCCGCCGGCCGTTCCCTCGCCGCCGGCTCCACCACACCGCCGCGGCGCCATGATCCATTTACGCAGCCGCGTCATCGCCCATCTCGTCTCATGTCCAGCGACCTCTCCCGCATCCCCTCTCCGCCGCCTCATCTCCGCCGTCTCCCCAAGCCCTGCCTTCGGCTTCTCGGTGGAGGAGTACCTCGTCACCACGTGCAGCCTCACCGGACCCCAGGCCGTCAAAGCCTCCGCCAAGCTCTCCCACCTCAAATCACCATCCAATCCCGACGCAGTCCTCGCCTTCCTCGCCGGCCTCGGCCTCTCCGGCGCCGATGTCGCCGCGGTCGTCGCCAAGGACCCGCAGCTCCTCTGCGCCGGTGTGGAGAGAACCCTGGCCCCCAACGTCGCGGGGCTCACCGTCCTCGGTCTCTCACGCTCTGAGATCGTGCGCATGGTCTTGCTCTCCCCTGACAGATTCCGCTGTAAATCCATCATCTCCAAGCTGCACTACTATTTGCCTCTCTTTGGGTCCTCTGAGAACCTCCTCCGGGCCCTCAAGAGGAGCTCCTACCTTCTCTCGTCTGACCTCGACGGCGTGGTCAAGCCAAACGTCAAGTTGTTGCGGGAGTGCGGGCTAGGTGCTTGTGATATTGCCAGGCTCTGCATAGCTAGGCCATCCCTGCTCAGCATCAGCACGGAACGCAGCAAAAACATCATCCCCAAGCTGCACTACTACTTGCCTCTCTTTGGGTCCTCTGAGTACCTCCTCCGGGCCTTCAAGAGCAACTCCTACCTTCTCTCGTCTGACCTCGAGGGTGTGGTCAAGACCAACGTCACCTTGTTGCGGGAGTGCGGGCTAGGTGCTTGTGATATTGCCAAGTTGTGCATCTCAACACCGAGGTTGCTCACCACCAACCCCAAGCGTGTCCAGGCGATTGTGGCATCCGCTCAAAATATAGGTGTGCCCCGTGGTTCTAGGATGTTCAGGCACGCGCTGCATGCTGTTGCATCTTTCAGAGAGGAGGAGATAGCAGCCAGAGTGGAGTACTTGAGGATCACGTTCAGGTGGACGGATGATGAGGTGGGCTTTGCTGTTTCTAGGGCTCCAATGGTGCTGACGAGGGCTAAGGAATCGCTGCAGCGCACGTCCGAGCTCCTCATCTCCGAGGTGGGGTTGGAACCGGCATACATTGCTCATCGGCCGACACTGCTCACTTTCAGCCTGAAGGGCCGGCTAAGGGCCCGACACTATGTTGTAAAGTTTCTTAAGGAAAATGGATTGCTAGGTCGCAACCGGGATTACTATTCCGCAGTCAAGATAACCGAGAAGGAATTTGTGGAGAAGTTCATATGCCCTCACAAGGAAGGTGCACCACACCTGGCTGATGATTATGCGGCAGCCTGCAAAGATGAAGTGCCGACTAGATTCAGATTTATATGAACCAAGACTGGTCAGAAAATTCATAACTGCATATGACAGGACAAAAATTTTCACTCTTCGTTTTAGGCTATTCATTCCTGATTCAGTGTTGTTGGCCTAACTGAATGGTGGTTGGCTGCTATCTATAATTTATAGTATGTCTGTTACATGCTCATTTGGTGGTGCTAATTCAGGATGAAACTGATATTTTTTTTAGGGGAGATGAAACTGATATTTTGGTTTCTGAGTCTCGTTGTGTTCATTGCACTGCTATGAACTTGTACTTTGTCATTTCATATTGACACGCATATTGGAACTAAGAGAGTGAGATCATGGCACTCTACAACTGCTCTGAAGTATCTGTGAGTAGTATTTATGCACACTCTATCTTTACATTCTGAAGTAGCTATCACAGTTTTCAATGCAATCCTCAATCTATCTTTCCATGAAAGAATATTCTCATTCTGGCCATGAAGATGATAATAAGTCTCAAACTTTCCTGTCGAGTTGGACTTCTTTTCCGCGAGAATTCTTTTTGGATTTGCTGATGTCCAGTTGGCCGCAATTTGTTGATCACTGCAGAGGATGCATTTTTGATCTAGTTTGTTAGTTTCTTGCTCTAGCTCTTCTAAGCTGAAAATCTTCATCCTTCCTGTAGTAGCTTTGTTTATAAGTTATTAACCGTTCTAAAAGCATGCCATTCTTTACTAGTAATTTTATCAGTTTATTTTTTTGTTTAATTGTCTCATGTATTTTTGGATGGCTTACTAAATAGCTGAGTAGTAGGGGCCAGTAGCATTTGTGTTCACAGCCTACTTGTACAACACTATGTAACAGATGTTTCGAATGCTCTGGTATTCGACTATTCGTACAGGAGAACAAATCGATTATTGTGTGCTACGGTGCTGAAAAGCAGAGGGCATTTCATACAATAAGGGAGCTTATGTTATGGTAACTTTGAAAAGGGTTATGACATTACCATGTTAATTTCTGCCATATCATTTAGCTTTTGTTCCATAATAGCACTATCTATATAGATAGTGAGGGCTTCTTTATGTACCATCATTTTTGCTTATTTCCATCTGGAAGGTCGGAATAGAAGGAAAAAAGCTGCATGAGACGAATCTTGCAGAAATTCCAACATAGTAATTACTTCCTCTGTAAAGAAATATAAGAGGGACCTGTGCGAGGATGGTGCACATTTTCTTCTTCCTGATGTGAGGCTGTAGAAGTTGGAAGAAATGAGATGTTAGGTGTGTATGCCTACTGTAAGGCAAAAGATATGGTTCATGCTATTACTGACGAAGAGATGTGATTTTAAGATCAGCCGTGTGTCCCTTCTCTGGTCCTTGTTGAAATTATAGAAACAAGATCAATGAAATGCAGGCGAGGGGAACAGGTTGATCAATGAAGCAACGTACCATCAGGTGAGTAGATGTGGAGTTTTCTATCAAGCAAAAAGTGGCTGGGCAACAGGAGCATACTGATTTACTCAATGTGGATGGTTTCTTGAGTGCGGCTAATCTGCACCCGGGCTCATCTGCACCCACGCTTAGAAAAAAATTCACAATGGTTTTGCTGTACTATGCATGATTCTGAAGGCTCTGTTAGTTGATGGTGCCCTGAAACTTCAGTGACAAGTATGGCCTGACTTTTATTCAGGGAAGCTTCTACTTTTCTCTTTTTTGAGTTTTGCAAGTTAAGTAATCCTTCTAATATTGTACTACTATTGTTGTGAGTAGACTATCATCTGGTGCTTTAATCAATTTTGCATTTTGTTGGATCTTCAGTTGGATGTAAACAGATTGCACGAGTGACACTGCATGTAAACAGTATGCATTATGCAAATTTTAGAGTATTTTGATTCTCCTGTATAAATATCCAATTTAGTTTATTAAAATAGGCATATTTTCATAAAGGTTCACCAAAAGCGAAATGTCATTTTTATAGTGTCACTGTCAGCAGATAAAACTGTTTTACCTTGAAGTGTAAAGCGTACGTTTAGTATCTAACATATGTATTGAAGGCATGTGATGAAATCCAAGTGCAAATGCTAGCTGATTTGCATCATTCTTATTTCTGGAATCTATTTCTCCAACATTTATGCAAATTCATTTAGAGTAGATAAATAAACTTCACTAGTGAGCTACTACATGAAGGCAATGTGCTAGCAGTTGATGATAAGTTACGGATCCTTAGTTAATCCCGAAAATTATAGCATTTATCTCTATGGAGCAGAGATGAAAAAACTCATGGAAGAGGCCATGATGAGCAGTGAGGACGACCAGGAGAACAGCGTCAACTCAGCAAGGTTGTATAACAACTGAAGTTTACACAAAAAGGAGAGCCTTATAATCAGAGATTCAGGGGGTTGGACATGACAATAAATTGACGAGTCTAAAAAAACAGGGGCTCACTGCGTTTGAACGTAGACAGGTGTGGTGCCACGTATGGGGATTCAGTTCAACTAAATAATCAGAGAGAAGACCAAGCAGCACAAGATAGTCCAAACTACAAAAACACATCAAAGTGCCATTTACCCAGACCCTAATAGCTTCGCCGTGGAGGAGTACCTCGTCTCCACCTGCGGCCTCACACGACCCCAGGCCGTCAAGGCCTCTCCGAAGCTCTCCCACCTCAAGTCCCCCGCCAAGCCCGACGCCGTGCTCACCTTCCTCGCCTCTCCGGCGCCGACATAGCCGCCCTCGTCGCCAAGGACCCCCAGCTCCTCTGCGCCAAAGTGGAGAAAACCCTGGCCCCCAACGTGGCGGGGCTCACCGGCCTCGGTCTCCCGCCTTCTGAGATCGCATGCCTCGTCTCGCTCTCCCATAACAGCTTCCGCTCTAGATCCATCGCCTCCAAGCTGCAGTACTACATGCCTCTCTTTGGGTCCTCTGAGAACCTCCTCCGGGCCTTCAAGAGTCCTACCTTCTCTCGTCTAACCTCGACGGCATCGTCAAGCCCAATGTCACCTTGCTGCGGGAGTGCGGGCTAGGTGCTCGTGATGTTGCCAAGTTGTGCATCTCAACACCGAGGCTACTCACCACGAACCCCAAGCGTGTCCAGGCGATGGTGACATGCGCTCAACATATAGGTGTGCCCCGTGGTTCTAGGATGTTCAGGCACGCGCTGTGTGCTGTTGCATCTTTCAGAGAGGAGGAGATAGCAGCCAGAGTGCAGTACTTGAGGAACACGTTCATGTGGACGGATGGTGAGGTGGGAATTGCTGTTTCTAGGTTCCGATTGATGCTCATGAGGGCTAAGGAATCACTGCAGCGTAGGTCTGAGTTCCTCATCTCTGAGGTGGGCTTGGAACCAGCGTACATTGCTCATCAACCCGTAATGCTCTGGTACAACCTAGAGGGACGGCTCAGGCCCCGGTACTATGCTGTCGAGTTTCTCAAGGAAAATGGATTGCTCAAGCGCGACCCAGGCTACGGTACCGTTTTAAGGTGAGAGAGAAGGTATTCAGGGAGAAGTTCATATACCCTCACAAGGAAGCTGCACCACACCTCGAAGAAGACTATGCTGCCGCTTGTAAAGGGGAAGTGTCGACTAATTTCAGATTCACATGAGCCAAGAACGGGCTATCATGTAATTGTGTGTTGGTTGTCCATGGTTGTATGACTGTTAGATGCTGGGCTGGTCGTTGCTAACGTGTGATGGAATTGATAATTTGATCCCTGAAGACTGGTATGTAATATTATCACTTCGCAATGGGTTGGTTATGAACTTTCTCGTCCTCATTCATGTTCTAAACACACGTATTGCAACTAATTAAGTGTGAGATCAGTCCATTCTACAATGCATTAAAATAGTTTTCAAGATCATTCCATTCTACAATGCATGGAAATTTCAGTTTTCAAGTTAGTTGCTGGTGCATTGAGACAATGATCCATATAATGTCTTCTTCGTGTGGGTAATTCACTCCTACTGTTCTATTGATGTTTTTGCAATTCATAGTGGATAACTACGGTCAATTCACCTGCCTTTAGCTTAATCTATTTTTCAGTTATGGTTTGATATAAAAATCATTTTGGTTTTCTCATATGCAGATTCATAGTGATCCATCTTTGCTTTAACTAATGAAATAGGTAGACATTCATTCAATTATGGGAAGTGTCTGGAAGTGAGTTCTCCTCTAGTTGGATCAGAGGTAACCATTTGTAGCAATTGGTCATATTGGAAATACCAACTAGGCTGCATTATGAAATGTGGGGGGCTCCCATATGTACAGATTATCTGCTAAAGAGAGATGACATAACTAAACATCAAACTCTCACTTGGAGGAGGGTTGGCAACTTAGCATCATTTAAGTCCAAGCAATTAAACTTAGGTTTCTCTGTTCATTTTTATGCTGGTAATGTTATTGATACTAGTAACCTTATCGACACAAAGAAGCACTAATTTTGTATTGTGTGTTTGTGGATTTTCATGCTCTGCACGATGGCAAGCATTTCAGAGCTGGCCGTACTTCAACCTATCATACATCAGTGTTTGCTACGTGTCATTTTGCCGTGTTGTTAATGTTCTACTTATTTTACTTGTCAATGCAGGGTTATGGAAAGGCTACTGGGGGTAAAAATTGATTATGTTGGAGAAGGACCTTAAAGATGCATCATTGTTCAACTGCCAACTATTTGTTGTTTCCAGTAAGACACAACCCTGTTGAAGTCTTGCAGTGATTTTTGCTCCTAGGTTTCATTAAGATTTTGTTGCTTTGTTGGCATTGATAAAGGATATTTTGTCGCAGTTCATGCAGTAAATCTATATCATACACGTGTGTTTATATGTTTCATCAGGTTTATCTGACCTATATGATGATATCGAAGCCCAACTGTACATTGACCTTGACTTGTTCTGCCCAGTGTAGATGATAGAACAGTTCCCCTTATAAGTTGTGATTGTTTGGATTGCTAGCAGATTCCTCTTTTAGCATTTTCAAATCTCTCATCATTCCTGTGCGTGTATTTAATTCTGTAACTAAAATGGTAGGATGCACAAGTTGACATTTGGTAATTGGCCAAGTAAGCTGTTAAGTTTATTAGTCTACCACTTTTTTCTGATGATGTCTAACTTCTCATGAACTCTTACATTTAGTTTTATATCTAAATTCTGGCTATAGTTTATGGATTTCTCGAACGGTAAAGCACTATGTTAGTATTTCATGAGATAATTTGCCAATAATATGTTTGCAGTAGTGTTTGCATTTGTGTCCAACGAGCCAGTGTTGCAATCTACTCCCTCTGTAAAGAAATACCTCTGAGATGACCATGGTGTAGCATAAGACAGGTGGTATTTCATAGTGTAGCATAAGACAGGTAGTGTCCATACTAGATTTACTTTGCTTTCAATGTCAGGTGGTAATGAAGAAATACCTCTGAGATGACTATGTGCGCTTAGGGGATGGGAGTCGAGTTCACTCACAAGAGATGGGCCATCATCCTTTCTAGAAAGACTTTCCTCTGGATATAAAACCTATTTCACAGGATTTGTGATCAAAGTTTGTATTCCAGTCCTGAAAAACTCATTTTTGTATCAATCGAAATAGCTGTAAACCCATAATATTTTTCATGTCAGCTTGGCTAAAAGAGGCTGACTTGCTACAGCTTCCAATTGCCTCCTCTCTCTACTCTGCAGTTCATCGGAATCTTATTGTACTTCATCTATGTCAGTGTTTTAATTTTGCTCCTGATGTGCATATTTTTTTAGAAATCTTAGCAACCTTTCTGGTAGGGGTATTATCATTTCTAATGCTAATGTTTCTCAGAGAAAGTTAGTGTATCTTCAATCATCAGAGTTTAATGTAAAAATCGACTGCATTTAGAATTTTATCGTAGCTGTGGGCTAATTCAGTAAAGAAAAGCAGTGAAGCAAGTTAAATTGTAACTTCATACATGCTTAATACCGCACTTGAGACTTGTTGCAAGCATGTGCCTGTTGCAGCCTGATGGATACATTATACATTAAGAATTTGTATGACATGGCATTCATCAATGCAGTCACAGGAAAATGTGGCTTAAACTTTTGATTGATGCCCCCCCGCTCTTTTACCTGTACCCTTGTTTGTTTCTTAATAACTCTGTACTTAGTGTATCAATCTGACTATTGTTTTTCTCATTTCATCTTCCGTAGAGAATTGGAGCGTGTACTTGCAGCCATTGCATATCAATGCAGTCGAAATATAGTAGGCAATCAAGGTGCATTTCAGTGTATGTTTCTTTTCTGATATCTGGAATATATGTTCAGATTATAGTATCTGGAATATATGTTCAGATTATAGTATCTGAAATATATGTTTGCTGCAGTTTGCAGGGTGATATGCTTATGATCTTATGGATGGAAGCCCTAAAGTTGAATTGCCAGGACTTTCACAAGGTTAGTGTACTGCAGGCCTAGATCCTTATTTATGTTACTACAAGCTTACATTTTAGACTGCACCTAAGTTGACATGTTTCTATGGTCTACATTTTGCGGATTGGAGAGTTAGGATCAGCTGGCCCTGAGTGCAAAGAACTTCAAGAAACAACAAAGAGTTGTTAATGGATAATTCAGCCTGCTTGCTCCTCTGTTAGCCAATTGTTTGGAGCTACGAGGGTAACTATTTACTGTATTAAGGTAGATTTCTTTTGCTCTGATAACTAATCAATTTTAACTGATTTTAGTGTGCTAAATCTCTAAATGCAAAAACTGTATCACTGGATATGTTGCCATTCAGAGGTGGTGCTGGAAGGATCAGTGGCGAAGCCAACATAGAGAAGGAGGCGATCGTTTTCGTAGCCGAGGGAAGCAAAAGCATGTGGAGGGGCATTCCTCAGCCTACTGGTACATGTCATTCTTCCAGCAGGCGGCGTCAGTTCCAAAATGAAGATTTGCTTAATTGTGAAAGGATGTTTTGTCTCAAACTCTATATGGTCCAAGATATCCAATCATTTCTCATATTACCTCCGTCCCAAAAAGCTTGTCTTAGATTTGTATAAATTTTGAGTCTAAGCTATCTTCCTTGGTTTGCATCAATCAAGGGTTACATGTAGTTCCTTTTTATGCCCAGCCCGGCAAGGTAGCGGGTATATATGGAAGAAGCTATGGTGTTAATTTGTTATATCATGATTTAAGACCACCAAATGGTTAGACTATTAACCCTCGGTTAGCATGGTTTCCAATATGCCTAGATTGACATAAATTGTTGCCTAGATTAATATAAGTTGTTACATTCACAGGCTATCTTCATGCAAACAGAGTTAGGCATTAACAGATGCAAGCTGGCTCTTCCAGATGGCATCTAATCTGTTTTCAGTGGTGTAAAAATGTATCTTCACAACAATATTGAGCTTGTTCTGTAGAATGTAGTCCTTCAAAAAATTGAAGCCAGAGATGTGATACTGGACAGTCTGAATTATCGGCTGTCTAGATTTTTTCTGTCCCAAGAATAGATTGCAATCTGTACCTGCATAGTTACCATTTTTTGTGCACATTATGTTTTGCTTCCATGGTTTGTAGGCTTATGGACTACTACTGTCTTCATTTAGGCATGGATGTGGTTCATAACTTAGTAGTTTATTTTGTTCAAAATATCGGCTGATAAATCAGGTAAGTGGCTGATTAATCCCTACTCGGTGGGTCACCGAGTAGCTGATTAACTGTCATTCGCCTATTAATCCCTTCTTTGCCAGCCGACCAAATAGTTACCAGCTAATGATTTTCTTAAAAAAATTATTTTGCTATCTGTTAGCATCAAAGATGGCAGTGGAATTATATCTTACTTATTTTTCTATGTGAAATTCAGTCTATTCATATATGGTAGTTGATTGATTGATTTGCTGTATTGCTCAAGAGCTTTAGATAGTGGTCCATTTATTCATAGTTAATCATGTAGTTGAGCTATTAAGAATTTATTTAGGATCTTACTTCAAGACATTTTGTGTCACAGGCCACTGTGGTTGTCTTGAAAGATCATCCTCCCTATGTATTAGCAATCTCTTAAATATGTGGGATTTTTTGATCTGCGGGCATGCTCCAGGAACTCCTCATGACAAGTAAGCACCCCTTTGGCTAGGTACTGGTTCTCTTATGCATTGAAGGTTATGTTCTTATTTTGTCAGACTTTGGTATATAATCGGGAGCACTTGGTGCTGTACGAGACAAACTCTTAGTAGTCCAATTCTATCTGGAGAGATTTTCATTTCTATCTGGAGAGATCACTGTCAAGAAGAATTGAAAGACATGGTTCAGAGCAATGATCACATGACAAGATTGCACCATCGATGTAGTTTACGAATTTTGCCATTGCTCTTGTACGCTCCCACACGCTGTAGCGAGACATAACAGGGGACCCCCTAAATTCATTAACCTTTCCTCTCCAATATATGGATGTAGTACGTTCTTCATGAGATAGTTAAAAGACTGGTGCTGTTTTATGCAATGCGAAGACCAGACAGATGATCCCGATACGAAAGCCAAAGCTCTGCTATTCGGTCGTTCCATCCGCACAAAATCAGCAAGGCTCTCTGGTCTTTGGTCCAAGATCCAGCAGTTGGACCAGAGTATTATTAACTATCTGCTAGTGTTTGCCAACCTCTATAGCTTTGTTGAGTACTGCTGTCATTTTCGGTCTCTAGTAATGCAATGTAATAATTACATTACTAAAAAACGCCGCTTAGCTGTAAACAGATGGGTAAAAGCTGGAGCATAAGAGGTATCTAGCGATTTTTTTCTGAAAAATAAAAGGTATCCAAGGAAACTATGTCTAACCAGTCGAATCAAGTAAGGACGAAAATAATCAAAAGTTGCAGTTTTCGGATGAGAAAGGACGAAAGAGAATAAATGAGAGCTATAAAGAGAAGAAAGGGCAGCCGTCCATTGCCATCTACGGCTGAAGACTTGCAATCCAACTCCCCTATATATATACAGCACCTACCAACACCAATCTCCATCCATTCACTCCCTGTCCTCTCCTCGCTTAGCTTTCTTCCTCCTTGGTAGCTCTAGTCTTCTTGCTGTGGGTAGCCATGGCGGCCCCGATGTTGAACCAGCTCAACACCCTCGTGGCCAAAATGTTTGCCGCGGTAAGCTGTTTACTATTTTGGTGCCAATTATATGGAACTTATTGAGGTGGATAGGTAACGCGATATTTGTTGGGGAATTTGATTTTTTTTTCTGTGTTCATTTGGTGGGCTAGGGTTTGCTGGACGATCAGTTCCAGGAGCTGCAGATGCTCCAGGAAGGGAGCGCCCCAGACTTCATCGACAAGGTTGTCACGCTCTTCTGCGAGGATGGCGAGCGTATCATCGGCGAGATCGCCAAGCTGCTGTACACAAGCTTCCTTTCCTTTGCTCGGCCACCCATGTTGTGTGATCCGACCATTAGTGTAGAGTGGTTGGTTTGATTTTTAGCTTGGGGATTTGGTTGCTGTTTTTGCAGGGACAAGCCATGTCTGGACTATCACAAGGTGAGCCATTTTGTGCTTGAACTCAAGGGAAGCAGTGCATGGTGAGCTCTTTTCTTCTTCTTTCATGTCCTCTTTGTATGTGATTGTGCAATAGTATAGGAATTGTGATTGTTTCGGTTCTTCGCGCGCAAATTAGGTGTTTAGCTCGCTGTTCAATACATGGTAAGGTGTCCAATCATCTTGGGGAAGAATTATGGTCTGTTTCATCATTTATAGTGTTTTATGTCGTAGATCTGACAAGGATGGTCCATTTCCTGCATTGGTTGGACGACTCAATGAGTATAGATTGATGTTCTTTCGTATTAGTGCCACTTCTGGTCGACATGCGGAGGGCTGTGATCTGTTGGGCATGTTGCAGTGATTTACCATGTTGATCCGACAAAAATTATCCGTTCCGTACACATTGGGCAGCTCAACAAGTAGATCTTCCCATTTATTTGGGGAGAGGTGACATCCATTTGGCCGTTATACTCATTTAGATTTTGATACGACGAACAATTTTGTCGTCGTACTTTTTGTGATTTAGATACGACAAACTGATTGGCCGTTGTATTGTTCTATGATCTGCATTCGACAAATAGTTTGTTATATTGTTTATGATTTAGGTCAGACAAACAGTTAGGCCATTGTACTGTTGTGTGATATGCATCCGACAAATCGTTTGGCCATTATACTGCTATATTATTTAGATCCGACAAATTGTTTGTCCGCTGTTACCATTTGATGATTTGGATCCGACAAATATGATCTGCTTCCCATAAACCAGACAGCTCAATGAGTACTGTGTAAAGTGGTCCAACCGATTAAGAAAATCCATTCATCCATTGTCATGTTTAATAATTAGATCCAACATCCGCCAAAAAGAACATCATATGTTCCACACACATTAAACGGCTCAAAGATAGCACTTCACATCTCCTTTTTAAAGTGGGGCCTCCTATAATTAATTTGGGTAGGATTATCATATTGTATTTTATGGCCACAACGTTCCATGACATAGATCGGAGAAACATGTCTATTCAGCCATTGTCTTGTTTAATAATTTAGATCTATCAATATGTTCCGCACACATCAAGCGGCTCAAAGAGTAGCAGTTCACATCGTTGGTCTCTTATAATTAATTTGGTGAGGATTACCATACTCTCTTTTATCGTCACAACATTGCGTGACATAGATTGGAGAAACATGTTCCACTGCATTCACATTACATGGATGGTTCCGTACACTCGAGTTGTCTTACATATTCAGGTCAATTGATCCCATTCGAACTAGTTGATAGTTTTGCAAGTTTAGCCCTTTGTGTGATTATTAATATACATTGGTAGTATTATCCTTAGAAACTAATATTATTATGCCCAAACTGTTCCCTTGCCTAATCAAGTTAAGTCCGTGTGTATTGGTTTTTGGTCTATACATGTAGTTCTTATGGAATCAGACGATGTAAACCAATGAGTCGTTACCACTTTACATGTAAAATATCTAGCTTATTCAAAGTCATTTATCTTGGATTAGCACTTTCATTACAGAAACTACACATATTTCCTGCTGGATTAATGTTTCATATTGCATATGCTCTGTTGAAATAAATTGCTTTGCTTACACCGGGCTTTCATAGTTGTAGTTGACTTCTTAACTCAGGTACAGATAATAATAGTGCTACATCTATTCGCTTAGGATTGTGAAGTGAAGAGATAGAATTGCGATGTTCATTTTCATTCATTAAAGCGATTTTGTGGGTCTTTCTGATTGTATGCTCTTGCATATTGTAGTATTGGTGCTCAGAGAGTGAAGAACAGTTGCATTCAGTTCCATCAGTGTTGTCAGGAGAAGAGCAGAGATGGGTCAGTACCTTCTATCATTATGTCACACTATTGTATTTTCGATCATTTTGTTACTGAAATCTCATACTGAATGTGATGGCCTAGTGTGCTTTACTCATCTACTGCAACACATTTCCATATTATTAGTGTTAGTATATTTTGATGCAATTGCATGTTCATTGCCTTTGTAAACTACTCATTTTACTCAGCCTTTATAGACACAGATTATGGGCGAATCCACTGAGCTTGTTGGGTTAGGAATATAACTGTGCCAGTACAGTTTTCTAGTTAATCATATCCTTCAATAATGTTGTATTAAATGTAGGAACACTATTCCATGAATGTTTAGAAACAAAAACTGAAACGAAAAGGTGGGTTCTCTTTACAGCATTGTAATGCCCCAATTATCATAGCGTTTAGAGCTATAAAAGGGAAGCTAAGTTTGTCTTCTTCTCTGAATATTGTCTCTGTTAGATTATTTTCTATGGACGCAAGTGTATATCTTGTTAAGCAAGTATGTCCAAAATTCCAGGGTGACATTCATAAAACTTCTAAATAAACTGTTAAGATAATTCTATCAGAGAAAAAAAAAATCTGTGGAGGCAAATAGTAATGGGATGAGCATTTTTAGTAGTTATTAATTATTAACATGTTTCTTTCATGAGCTGCTAATTATTAACATGTTTCTTTCGTGAGCTGCAAATGGGAAGGAGTTTCACAAGTTACTGGACTGTTTACCTTGTAGGTGCCTGAACTCACTGGATTCTGTGAGGAACGATTTCTATGATGTGTGCAGCATGTTCAGGCCACATGCTTCAGGTACTACTTTTTAAAAACTCATCTTAAACTCGTTGTTGCATTACAGTAGTAAAACTGGAATGCGAAGGAGACACTTCTTATCCTAAAGTTTGCTTGATATGAAAAACATTGAACCGAACAAATAAAAAAGCTTGTTAATGAGATGAATGCAGTATTTGCAGTGCTAAAGTGTACTCAGAGCCAGAGGTACTAGTTGTCTAGAGTAGTGCTTGGGCTGTAGTTCTTAGTAAAACTCATTTTCTTATAGTGCAAGCTTTTCTTAATGGGTTACGCAACTAACCTGTTGTTCTGTTTCAGATGCAGCTGGGCCAGCGAGTCCAAGCCTTAATCCTAAACTGTAGAGTGGAGCATAAAGCTGGAGCTGCATGTTTCTGATGGTACAACACCTTTGAAGTCGTGGAACATGCTCAACCTAGCTTATATAGCTTGGAGTCATTTGCTTATGTGGGGTCTGTAGCTGCCTAGTGGCAAGCTAATCATCTACTAGTATCCATGTCTTTGTTATTATTCGCAGTTTCATTTGGAATTCTCAGTGGTCAAATAAAAAATTCAGCTGTGGTTGTTCTGTGGATTATTGGTGGTTAATATGATGTCTCAGTTATAATCGGTTTGTAGCTCGTAGAAATGCAGCTGCAGTGTAGCCTTTACAATATTGTGCCTCGTCGACCGGTTTATCAACTGTGGTGGTATATTGTGGAGAACATATTTTATCTATCTATGTTATTTTGTTTTATTAAGGCGATGCAAACAAGTCACCACATCTTGTAGACTAAATAATTTCCTCTGCTGATTATACGGTATATCCAATTATAGCAGATGATTTTTAAAACCGTTAAAAACTAAACATAAGAAATGCACGAGTGTTTGTGTTAGAATACATGTCCATCTATTCGCTTGCATCAGAATTGGAGCAATGGAAGTTAATCCAAACTAATCATCCATTGTTACCAACCTACTAACTCAAGCAGCTAAGCATGCATTTTGGGGTGGTAATGGTTGGCCAGTGGCTGTGAGTCAAATTGGATTTTTACTGAATACCCACTCCATGTTATAAGTGAGCAGGTGCAAAGCCAGCGAATATAATAAATTTGATAATTCACATTAAAAAAAGGTCACTCGATCTTTGTTGCTGCCGGCAATAAGCATCCTTCCTGCAGCTTGACTAGAGAACCTCTAGTGGATGCACTAAATTCCTTACCCGCAAAACTTAAAATGGTTTTGCGGGTGGTTCATGCTCGGCGCAGAACAGATACCACAAATAGTACCGCAAATTAAAAAACTTAAACTTAAACAGGTTCCCGCTACATAGATCAGTCCGGAACTCCCCGGAGTTCATCACACACACAGATAAACTAAACATAAAAACCTAGCTCGACGGAGGGCCTAGTCGAGCTGGTACTCCTCCTTCGCCCCCTTGAGGCATTCAGCGGCGCCCGCTTCGCCGGCCTCCACCGCCTCCTTCGCGGCGTGGTGCATGATCTTCACCTTCCCGAGCTTCTTCGTGGTCGGCCATAGCTGCTCGTGGAGCTCAATGAAGTGCTGCCATGCATGGTTGCCTCCGCTGCAGGAGAGGGCATTGCGGTTGCGCGCCTGCGCCGAGCGCCACAGCTTGACGGTGGGCCAGTTGGAGCTGCTGGCCTCCGCATCATGCTGGCCACGCGACCTGTGGTGGCCCCATGTTTGCAAGCTTCTCCCGCCTTTGATATGTGCTTAAGAGGGAAAAACTGGCGGAATCGGTCACCAGAGCTAAGAAAGGAAGGTGGCGGAGGGGAAGTGGACTACGGCGGAGGGGGGCGGATCCATCCGAGACGGGAACCCTAAAATGCCCCTGCATATAGCGGCGGAAGCAGCGGTTTACGAGCTGCCCGTGCATTTTTTAGGGGCAGGTGAAAAATATAGCGCTTCTGTTCCGGCCCAGACATATGAGTCAGCAACGGATTGCACAGGAAAGCTGTCTAGGCTTCGCGTGAGCCAAACTATTGGAGGCGATCCAACACATGCCAGCGTTCTGGTCAACGCCAAAATTTTGGATTGGCAGACGGCAGCACAATCCAAACAGGCTCTAAGAGCAACTCTAGCAGACCCCGCAAAAATTCGACCCGCAAAACTTGTTTGCGGTTTCACGAACATCTCGTTCGCGGGTCGAAAACATTCACCGCAGATCAGATATCACATCTAAACCTGCATAATTTGAAAAAACGCTTTCGCGGGAGAAATTGCACACACATAGTTTATCACATCACATGCTACATTGTTCATACACACATAGATCATACTAAATGCTACGTTAACTAGTAGTAGAGGGGGTCGGATCTGACGACAGCGAGGTCGCAGCAAAATGGACGACACCGTGGAGGCCGAGCGACGCTCAATCCTCCTCGCCGGAGCTGACAAGGTCGATGTACTTTGCCGCCTGCTCCGCGCGGATGCGGCGCCACTCCTCTGCCTTCTCGTTGGCGGCGACTGCCTGCTGTCACTGGAGGGCTTCAAGCTCCTCGGCGTGGCGCAGGCGCTCCGCCTCCTCGCGCACGCTCCGCTTGGCGATGGCGGCGGCGACGGCGGCGACGTCCGCGACGTAGTCCTCGGGCCCGACGACTCCGCGGCGGCCGAGCGGAGCGGGCTCCTTGGGCTCCTTCTTCACCGGGACGAAGGCGAACTGCGCCGGCGGCTCCTCCTCCTCCTTCTCGTCGTCGTCCGACCACTCCCTCTTCACGGGGAGGAAGGCCGCGCCGGAGGACGAGGAGGATCCGGCATAGGAAGATCTCACGGAGGAGAAAGACGCGCTACAACGGCCGTACTCCTCCGTCTCGCGGCCCCCTGCTGTACAAAAAGGTTTCTAGTGGGGACCCTCTGCTGGATCCCATTGTCAATATGTACACACAGACCTAAAATTTGAGTTTGGTAAATCGGAGCCAGCTCTCCGTTGAACACTCATTTTTCTAGGTGCCGATGTTCTCACTTATGCGTACTTCTAGTAACTTTTGGACGTAGACGCGAACATCCATGTCATCATGTGTGATTATTTGAACATGGAATAAATGTGTGGCAAGAATGCACGACAAGCTCTCTTTTATTTGTCATCAAACGGCTGGTCATTTCTGATGCATATTTTTTCTATTAAGATCAACTGCTTTAAACATGAAAAAAATGCGTATCTTCTCATAAACCTTGTGCAACATGTTGCAGCCCTCAATCAACAACAAGAAGGGGGAGAGTGGGGCACTGGGAGAAAACTAATGAAGCAAATGGTAATTAATGTAGCGCCCTAGGCAGAGGCTGCATCGATCCGTCCATCCCCACTGTTGGCTGCCTGACAAAATGGAGCTGAGCATGCATGATTGGTCACACCACGACACACTTGACCTTCTTCAACCTTGTCACCGTCACCGCCGCCGCCGACGACGACAGAGGCGGCTCCAACCGTCAGGTGGCCAGCGTTGCTGTTGGTTATCTGATTGGTTACAACACGGCGCACTTGATGACCTTCTTGAACCTTGCCGGCGGCAGCACCGCTGAGTACGACAGAGACAGCTCCAGCGGGTAGGTGGCCTCCAGCCCGTGCGCGCCCCCGAGGGTTTGGTGCCTGACCCCGGACGCCAGATTGAGATCCAGCACGAACACGTCCCGCGCCGCGCTCTCCTTCACGAGCACCGCCACCCCGGCTCCCCCCAGCGGCGTGGCGCCGATCTCCCCACCCGCCGCCACAATGTTGGTCACCTCCGGTCGGACACCCCCGTGCGACCTTCCCCGCACCCCGACGCCAGCGAGGAGCACGGCAGCATGCCGAGAAGCAGTCGGAGAGGCAATCGCCGAGGGAGCCGAAGCAGCTGCCGCTGGTGGGATGGCCGCCGCTATGGCTTCCGTGCCCGTGGATGTGATGGCCGCCGCTGTGGCTGACGTTGCTGGAGAAGCACGTGGAGAGGCAACCGCCGAAATCACAGTCGCAGTTGCAGTCGCAGCAGTCACAGTCGCAGTCACAGTCGCAGTCCAGGCAGTCGCAGTCCAAGTCGCAGCAGTCACAGTCAATGTCGCAGTCCAGGCCGTCGCAGTCGCAATCGCAGTCGAGATCGCTCATCGTCCTTGTTCTTCTTCTTCCTACCTGATCGATGGATGAGATACAACAGCTAGCAAGGCCAGACAACGTATATATACAGACTACAGAGGAGATCGATCCGGCGATAGAGCGACGATCGGACTCCAAGTCGGTCGTAAAGCAAAGCAAGAGCGTCAGCACCTTCCATTAATCATGATGACGATGGGGTTCCCGTCCGTCTCCAAGTCGGATTGCATGCACGCGCGGCTCGGGCAATGGCTCTCTAGGAAGGAAGGAAAACGAGGTGCTCCATCGCGATCACCACTTTTTTCCTCACGGCCGTCGACCGAGGCCGAGCCGCTAGATCGGCTGTTTCTGGGCAAGTGGATAACCGACTAAGAGTATCTCTAGCACTAGCAGATCCTTTATATCGCAGACCATTATCGCGTGTTTGCAGTTTGCGGAAAATGTGTTTTGCGCGCTCGTGCCACCTTATTTTTTTTTACAGTTCTGCTATGCGGGGTCTGTTCGGCCGCTGTCCGCGCGAGTCCGCAGAACACGCGTTTTTTTTCTTCTGAATTTGACACATATCTTACATATTACACTACACATAATTATGAATTCAAATCACATAAAATGTGAATATTATAAATCTAAATTACATCAACGATTCAAATCACCAAATAAAACTAATAATTCAATACAACAATGATACCGATCACACATGAATTAAATGAAAAGAATGTAAAATTGGCTGGTGCCTTTGCCAATGATGCTCAATGCCTTTGGTCATGCCTTTGCCAATGATGCTCAATGAAATCCTCCTGAAGCTGATGGTGGATGTTTGCATCTTCAATCTACCGGTCTATCTGAAGGAATGCTTGTATGCGGCCAGGGTCTCTAGATGGCTTCACACGGCTGCCGACATTGTCGTAGAAGAACTCCAAGTTCATGTCCCTCTAATCTTCGATGATCATGTTGTGAAGAATCACACAACATGTCATGATGTTGCTCAGGGTTTGCTTGTCCCAAAAACGAGCAAGATCACGAACAACGGCAAATCTAGACTGCAAAACCCCAAAGGCTCTTTCAATATATTTCCGGGCAGCCTCTTGTACCTTTGCAAATTCAATATGCTTCTTAGTTTTGGGCTTTTTGATGCTCTTGACAAATGTACACCAAGAAGGGTAAATACCATCAGCAAGATGAGACCGTTGCAACACATTGATATCATTGAGAGTACCCGGCATACCAAAAAACAATGCCAAATCCATAAATCCTCGGATCTTGCGACCTCTACCACAATTG